TGTGAACGTGCTAGAAATCATTAACTCACGAAGTTTCAAGTTGTGAGGCGCGCATCTGGGTTTACTAGATACTATGTTATGTAAATGCCCATACGCGCATATGTAAGCAAAGGACAATAAGGATTCTCCCATGCATTTCAGATCAAAAGGAGGCAGCGATTTCTATTAGAAAGGCCTAAACGGAACCTCACTCACGTAAGTCTTTTGTGTTATATTACTGATCAAAAATAACAGCAGCATCATTAAGGAATATATTATGGCACAGCCGAAGATGTCAGTTTCGAGTTGTGGCCACGGTCGAAAATTGTTGACACTGTATGAACGCGTCCACTTCTACGCCAATACATACATATTTCTTTATTTAGAGGCTAACGTCGAAGAGACAATCAGCCATCTAAGTAGGGTAAGCAAAAAATTATATTTTGTACCGTCGATTATATGTGTGACGTGCTGCTTTTACATTTAAGCAGACATTGCAGAGCTTGTGTATGCTTTCCAAAACCTGTAGCTTCTTAGTACAAAACCAGGGCTAGGTGGCCCATTACGTGAGCACCAGACACATAGAGAGAAGGGCTAGACCGTAGGAGACGATGGACTCCCCAAGAGGGATAGCAAGGTTTACGTGAGGGACCCCAGTCATGGATAGTACCATCCACTCTCAACTAAAGCCTCAACCAGGTTCTGGGACATTCCCGAAGGCCCCGAAAGTTATTCGTACCCCCACCTCTGCAGAATTTAATTGTCGAGGCCACGGTCAATGCCAACACAAGGGCATCGTACGCAGCAAGGCCAGTTCACAAGAACTCGCCGTCCTGCTCCGAGCGGTCGATGCCACATGCCCCGCACTCGCAAATTAAAATGCCCCCTTTACTCAAATCCATCCGCCCGCCCGCCCACCCATGGAATGTACGCATTGCCTTTCCTGATCTACGTAACTAAAATCAACTTTCGTTTCGGAAAACAGGTTAGGAAGAAAAAAATTAATTAAAAAAAAACTTAAGCTTAATTACTAAATAAAATATATAAAGTTTGTATACGAATATAACCATAGTAATGTTGAACCACTACAAGGTTTGTGGCTGGAACGCAAGATCAAATTTTGCAAATTATGATACCTAGCGCCTATTTGCAATAAGGCCGCCTATAATCTCAAAAAGTTCAGCTCACATTTTTTTCGGCTAGTACATTAAAAAGCACTAAAACACATATAAACAATTAGCTACAATTAGAAAGCGGAAGTCCTAGAGAAAACATTAATCATGATGAGTTATAGTAATGACAAAATACAGTTATGTTCGCCATATGTCCGCAAGCAACAAGCTTATAGTCCGTACATAAAATCAACCATATATAGAATTTCTTGAAAAAAGGTTCGTTCGTTCAACTTCACCGTTCAGCCAGCACACGCGCCGAAGTGTAGGCTCTAGTCCTGTTGAGTTGAAATAATCGTTTCTAAACCATTAATGATCCGAGTCGTTATCGAGCGTCCGATAATCGTGACTAATGCCATCAGCGGCATTAGTCGCTCCATGGCTTCGTCGTTCGGATGTATATGTGTCGCCTTCACACGGCAAATCGTATTTTACATGCGCAAGATCAACATGGACCGACAGTAACCAGCAGTACTCTGGTCTCAACTACGTCTACCAACTGGCCGTCCGTCGGTTTCTGATACCATAAAATTCTTACCATGTATTGCTCGTTACCGTAAAAGCGCCAATTAGGGCGGAGCACGGTGTTGAGATCCTTGATCGCGCAATCCTTGTAAAGCTATAGTTGCGTACCATTGCCCGTCATCCCACCTACGGTGTGACAATGATCTAGCTGAACAGAGTAACCGTTTCAGGAGAAATCATCAGGAGCGAAAAGTACTATGACGGCTACATCTACCATGGAGCCTTTGTGTTAAGGTCAGAGTTATATAAGCTCGTACGCTCACACAACGACACAGTCTTTAAGAACAATCGCGTTGAGGTGTATTAAAAAGTTTCCGTGCAAAAAGGCTTAGATCCACTTCGGCTAATATTGTGAAAATGGCCTTCCTTTTATACAATAAAAGGTTTCATTACTTGTTCAAGAGCTACTACTGGTGATTCTGAATGTTTAGGCTGAGTCAGGCAAATCTCGCTTTCTTCGTTTCCAGCGTAACGGCATCGAAAGGGACCAAAGCTCTCTTGTACACAAAGCAATAAACTTGATTCTGCTTTTTTTCTATTTTAGCCAGTCTTTAATATGTTTATGCAGCAAATTTTTCAAAACATGTTGTCAAATCATTTCAAGAATTCAAATACGTGTATATATAACCGATCAAAACGAACTTACGCCCTTTTACACGGAAACCCTTCTTCTACTCTCAACAATGGCGAAACGTGTTAGAAAAACGCCACTATTTTTTGTTAAATAGCGATTAGTATTCGGGAAGGTGCGCAGGGTTCGAGCAGATTTCGTTAAAATAATAAGCGAGATGGGTCACAGCTCGCTCAATTATTTAATCGTTTTATCTTCCGAAACTAACGTGATCATGTATCACGGGATTGTTGGTAACTGTAGTCATGGGACAGAAAAGAGGGGCGGGCACGGAGGCTAGTAAAGCGGTGTCCATGCGCGCTGTAGTATACGTGCGACGTTGACACGTTACAGATAGGTGTAGGCCTGAACACGTTTGCTGGGGGACCTTACGTTGTAAATCATACGCCTATGAAGCTGACTAACTATTGACTAGCTGACTATTGACTAACTGCCGATGCCGATAAAATCGGCATCGGCAGTTAGTCAATGCGCCTGCCGTCAAAGTCGTCACTTATACGTGATAGACGGTACCTGGTACTCGATCTACGTATTTATGTTACAGATCAGTTTGACACAAAATCAACAAGATGCGCAGCTTTAAGCTTTGCAATCGAACTACGCGGGCCTATGATACTATTTGACGTAAACGTGCGTGAGTTCCCGAAGAAGGCAATACGGCTTCTTTCCTATTGGACGTATTAGCTAGCAAAATAAGTCATAACTAGCTCTTTGATAGCAGACGGGTTAAAAACGAACATACCTGCAATCTGTTTGATCATTTTAACATGTTAGGTAAACAGGAAAAAGCCTGCGTGGTAGCACGTTAAGAGGAGAAGTATAGGACGCTATATCACGACTTTATTATAGATAGCCCTCAGAAGAATCTTTTCTATCGTAAATATTTATTGATTTTCTATTATGTTAATCGTCAAACTTTACCTCCACTAAGTGTTTTGAATTTTACGTCCGGCATCACCGTCACGCATTCTATTACGCGACCGTGGTCTTCCAGAAGAGAATGAAGTGTGTCTATCTATATCCGTGTTCAAACCTAGACTACCACGTGACTACAAGGTAGATGACTGTAGATAAACCGCATTTACTTCTCCCAAGGCCTTCAGTCTGCTTGTGCCACCTGCATGACTAGTTCCTACCACTGCCCGCGGTCAGTTAATCCGTAGATAGGCATTGGCCGTTAGATTTACATACATTCTTACACAGACACATACACATAAAAATACACGAACGCACACAAGTAACAACGTTCACTACATATGTCGAAAGCTTACATGAGTAAGTGTTATACATGCTAATGCTGCGAACAATCCAGTGCCGGCCAGGACCACCAAACGACCGGTGATTCTACCCATCCAATGCGATCGCTGTTCCCATTGCAACTAGCACATTATCTTCAGTTCTAACTCTAATAATTGTGATGAACGAGTCTCGTATTAAATATGACCAGATTTCGTTTCGTAGCATGGTACTTGATTTTTGGTATAGACGTTATATAAACGAGTATACTCCTAATAGAAATAATAATAACGGTCGTAGTAAATAACAACGTGATAAACTCTATTGGCTCGACGAAAACAGACTAGCGCGCCACCGCTTACTATTAGAGGAAAGAGTTGACACCCTATGCAAAGCTAGCTTGCATGATGGGGGGCGGGGGGGGGGTAAATGGGGAGCGATTAGTTTTCTGAGAAAATAATAACGGTCGGAATACTGTCAGCCGAACACCTCTCTCTTCTCTTCAAAGTTTCGCTGGGCCAGTGAGTTCGTGCCCTTGTTTGCCTATCAAAGCCCGCAAAAGCAGAGTCTGGCACAGACATTCACACGCAAGCATAAAAAAGGTCACCGTATTCTGGTATTTCAGGACCACGACATTGCCGATCGGGTACCCTTCCTTCTTTCAACAGCGATCAGTCTGTTGACTGTTGTGTAATAATGTTGTATAGGAATAATCTATCCACATCCGAGTACAGATAAGCGACTTAAGGACAAAATAACATAATGCTGCTCTGAGAAAGGAGGATACTTAGAAGACGATGACGGTGATACGTGGTTGGCCTCTTTTGACTCGTCCGGTCATCCCTACACACTAAATGAACCTTTACGGAAATGGACGGTGCATACAGAGGGATAGCCCATGTCCGGTCATCCGCCTTCCAGGGATAGCACACGCACATTGATTTATATGCACACATCCTTGAGACGAAGGACCCGCTACGCTCAGACATAGCAGTGGAAACTGCTAAAGAAGGAGCTCAAGCGGATAGGGCCAAACGGCGGTATTCACGTGCTATCAGTTTGTTGCACCAAAATACCAACATTAGCAGCCATTGAAATAAACCTATTCGAACATTACAGCGATCGGCCCAGTCGTTCAGGAGAATGGAATACTCCGGAAATAGACCCACCATTATCCTTTCCCTAACCGAATTCGCACACGCAAGAGTGCATATAATGTGCGGCAT